GGTATAACTCCACACAGGCCGGGAACCCTTTGTATGCGGCCCACATTAAGGGTGTATGGCCCTGCGTGTCCTTGACATCGACATTTATACCTTGGTGTAGGAGGAGAATTATGAGGAAGAGGTTCCCATTGAAAGTTGCAAGATGGAGGATGTTGTAGCCTTGACCGTCCGTGATCTGGTGGTCGGCGCCGTATCGCGTGAGGAGGTCAACGATGTAATAGTGCTTTTCCTGGGCGGCCCACATAGCGGGTGTAGCGACGGACTCGCCACCGACGGCATTTACGTCGGCACCGGCTTCGAGAAGGACCTTGCAGACATTGTAACGATTGTTAATTGCTGCCCACTACCACCATTTTCGAAGGATACGGTTAGCTAGCGTCTGGGTGCGGTGGTACGGGGTTGTACCAACATGTAACGGCGTGATGCCTTCCGGGTCCGCATAATTTGCTGGGATTTTGCCAGAGTCGAGAAGCTGTCTTACACCGGCCTCGTCGCCCAGCTGTGCCATTTTCATGACATCGGGCTGGGGCGGGTTCGGGAGCACATCTGACAGCTCCAGGTCTGTGTTTTCGGCATCGGTGGTGGATAGTGTCGGTTTCCCTTTTGCAGGAACGGCCGAGGTGGCTGGATTCATCTGGGTTGGGCCGATGGGATGGGATGAGGTGAGGTGAGGTGAGGATACTGCGGGATGAGGGCTGAGAGGGATGTGGAGATGTGGAACGAGGTTGCGTAGCGAGCAGTCGGCTGTCGCGGGACTCGGCAAGGCGCGCACTTTCCCTCAGTCGCGGTATAACTACTACCACGCTATTATCACCACTTTTGAGTACTTTCTACACTGTGTTTCACACGAATGCTGGTCGAATGGGGAGAAGGAGTAAGACAAAGGAGACGGAGAGAATGAGGAGAGGGAGGAAGAAAAAAAAGTACCGAGGACGTGCACTTATTGTTATTGCTTGAGAAATTACAGCTGCAAGTCGACAGGGAGAGTATTATCACGCTAAGCCAAGTTGTTCGCCCGATGCTGACCATCTCCGGCTTCCCCAAAACGAATACAACAATCTGGCCGAACCAGCGTGCATAGTTAGGTATATATACTTATATAAGTATCTGTACCTGGAATATGGCATCGGTGGCTGTGTCTACTAGCTACTGCTTCGTGGTGGGCGCAGCGTCAATGTCACCGCCCAGCAGGCCTGCGAGTCCACCTACGCAAGCAAACATGTATTCTGATGCTCTCACGACATCGGCTAGCTAGCTTCAGGGGACCCACCTGGCAATTTGGCCCCAGCTGCACTAATGGCCCTTACAATCTTTACAATCTTGCATCCCGGGTAAAATCAGCCCCTCCCACCACCATGGTAGCTATAAAAGTGGCGCATCCCGCATAGTCACACCGGCAAGCCACACTTTCTGGCTGAACCCAGCATATATCATACATCAATGGTATTGTTTATATAACTTATCTATTTATCCGTCTGCGATTTATGTTGAATTAAGGAAACCTAGCGCTAACGTATCTTCACGAACAGAATGTCTACGCGAAACCGAATATCAAGCTCAATATTCAGCCGAATGATTCCTTATAGAAGAGAGGTCACAGCATAACAGTGTGAATTGTTGTCAAGTGAACAAAAGCTATATTACAGGTGGAGAAAAGCCAGGGCTTTAGAGTGTATTCTCCTTGCAGGGCCCTCGACGGATCATGTACACATGCCGTCACCAAACAATACTTAATTGTATTAAAAAAAAAAAACAAGACGGAAAAAAAAAGACGGGAAAAAAAAGACGGGAAAAAAGGGAGTAAAAAGACAGGAGTAAAACAGTGACGAGCTTTAAAGCCTTCGCGCGAGGCAGCCATGGATCAACCAAAAAGAAAAGAAAAGAAAAGAAAAAGAGAGAGAGAAGGGGGGCGGAAAAGGAAAAAAAGAGGGAGGAAGGGAGAGGGAGGAAGAGGAAGGAGGGAAGAGGAAGGGAAACCAGAAGTCGGTACTATAGACCCGCACCTCTGGACCGAGCATATGTTGCTGGCACCAATTCACGGATTCCGACCGTATTCGAATGTGCCCTCTCGCATGGGCTTCTCTTGACGTCTCCTGGAACTCGACCAGAGGTATCTCAGTACCTCTCTAGCTTCTCTCAAATCTCCGCTTCGTATATACCCCGCGTCATGCAAGTCCTCTAACACCACAGAGCACCACCACCTACAGCCTTGGCCTGACTCATGATATAAGTAGTATTCTCTTCTTTTATTCACAATTGTAGCGATGATATCGCCAACGGTTGGTTCGGTGTCGAGGCTTATGGTTTGCAACTTCGTCTCGGCATTTGCTGGTAGGTATGATACTGATTTGATTACGAGTTGGCCCTTTAGAGCATTCCCATCACCGTCAACCTGACCCATCGCCATATCGAGGCGGATGAACCTCTCCTGGTGCTGTCTGTTGCCGGGAACCTCCAAATAAATGCGCCAGTGGTTCGTACGACCACCGGCGACTAGGCCAGCTGCTAAAAAGGCTTTTTTTGTGATGAGGTTCTCGTCCCCACTCGTAAGACCCTCCAACATAAGCCTCTCGGTTTGTTGGAACCCTATTTATATAGAAGTTTTCATTAAGGCAAATTCTCAAAATTTCAAACAAGTTTAGATGCCTCCTAGCTAGGCAAGTATATAAGATGTGGAACTGATGCACTTAGGATGCATCAGATATTTCAGGAAATTTTTGAAGGGTATTCGGAACTCACTTGCCATTGTAGATTCTCGCTGCTATATATCTTGAATTTGTAGTTGAATTTGACGGGCGTTTTAAGATGTCTGGGCGTTATATCGATGTCTATCTGTAGTACTAATGGCTATTGAATCTTGCGCATATACAATGCCAGCAATATCGTATTAAAAGAGCTTATGGAGGGTACTTGTGGAAATTAGATCTGAGAGTATTCTATGATTATGATTATGATTATGATTATGTATTGGTTATAGTCTGATGCTCAAAGCAAGTAGGAATCTGGTTCTATATTATATACTTGTCTCGCAGATTATCTATATTGTATTCACCTCGGGCGCTAATTAGCTGGACAACTGGCATCGGAGATCAGATTACGAGCGGACTATCCTAAAATTTAGAGTTCAGTACAAGAACAGAAAATAATGCTTGCATTCTTCTGGTGCTTTGATAAATGATACGTCTCTCGGGAGAAAAAGAAAACGGATGTGCTCCTGCTTAGTTGTGGTACTACCAGGCCAACGTAGCCTCCTCGACACAGGCTGCTGGCTTGCAAATTTTATGATTCTAGTCTAGCGGACCATAAAGCGGTACTGGAATTAAGATAATGTAAAGGTGTATTGGGTCCAATCATTCCATCCTGCTGCTAAACTGGGGGTCCCTCAACGTCACACCGGCCTGAACACAGGGGATGCGATGGTTGCCGCTGGTACACGCCATCCAGGATAGCATCGTATTTACGGCCTTTGCTTGCTCTTCCCATTTACTTTCCGTAGCTATAGAGCAAAAGATATCCCATCGAAGACGGTCATTGGAAGACCACTCTCCAAACTGGAGCATAAAATGATCCATAGAGGCGCGGTCGAAATAAGCGGGATACCACCCGGCGTAATCCCAATCTACCAACCATAGGTCCCCTTTCGGGTCAACGATCATGTTGCGAGGAGCCAAGTCATGGTGTGTGAAGACGGCAGGACAATCAAGAGACACTGGGCCGATAGCACAAGCTCTCTCGTGTTCCTCAACGGATTTCTTCACCCAGCAAATTTTGGGCAGTCCCTCGTAGTTCGACCAAAAGTTGACCACTTTGCCAATCTCTTCGGCCTTACAAGCTCTGGGTAGACCCAATTCGGATTCAAGGTAATAGGTCCGGCATTTTAGGCTGTAGCACGATCCGATGCAATCATTTGTCTTCTGATGCATAATCCGTAACATTCCTCGAAGCTGAAATGCCAGACGTATTGTTTCCTCTAGACTGAGATCTGTCCAAAGCTCCTTTAGGGTTTTGCCGGGGACATACTGTTGCACAATCTCGAAGCCCTTGTCATCTATCTCGTTGTACTCGAGTATACGTTCGATGGCCGGAACCCGTACCCCAAGTTCTCGAGCAAGTTCAATTCCAGCGATGGCGTCTTTTCCCCAATTTTCTCCGTATGATTTTGTGACGTAGCCTTGGGAGATGCGAATTACTCGCGTACACTTTTGGTAATGCCCCTTCTGGCTCCCTCTAATATGGTCACGAAGATCTGAAATGAAGCTCTTTAATTCGTCATCGGTGAGCCTTTTGATTGCTTCGTCGCTGTTTGCCGGGCTCATATTAGTAAAGTTCTTGTCGAGTTGAGATTGTTGTTCGGGTGAAATAGATGATGAAGAGGAAGAACAGAAGGAGGAAGAGGATAACGCTGGTGATGGTGGCAAGTCAGGAAAGGAAGCCGATTCGGGCGCAGGGGAATCGGAGTGAGGCATGATGTGTCGCTCGTCAACTGCACTGTTGTGAAATCAAAGTTTTAGGGTGTTGACGATAGCAATCAAGTAGTGATGATAGCGGCGATGTTGGTAATGGCGATGACGGTGACGATGTGAAGTAACAGCTTAGCTGGTTCCGGGACTGACAGCTTGGATGGAAATTTAAACCTTTCCTATCAGAAATGAAGCGAAAGCAAGCCAGTGACGGTGGCCGACGAAAGTGCTGGAGGAGAGAATATTATCTCAGCGAGGGGTTGGATCGAAGGGAATGATTCATCGTGGACAAAAAACATTACACAAAGTTTTGTGCTCAGCGATGAAAATAGCAAGCAATTGACGCATCACTGTGCGCGTGCGAGAGGAATATGTGTTGGCATTGTTATATTTTCCGAGAACCTTCTTTGGTGTGTTCTGTTCCCATACATTGCCAGCTGGGGACTGTGCTCGCTGACTAAGCCACGCACGGATAATACCAAACCCACCGAATTGTGTTCCGCCTTCAAATAGCCCGTATCCAGCGGGAGTGAGGTAACCAGCCCAGTAACTCAGTGGTTAGAGTGTCGTTCTTATATGGAGAATCTGGTCTTATTCCCTGGAATCAGCTCAGCTTCATATACAAGAAATGCGAAGGTCGCGGGTTCGAATCCCGTTTGGACTAAACAATCCAATGAATAATCTACCATACTTTTTTTGCATCTTTTTTTTTTTATTTTTCCCCCTTCCCTTCGTGACCAATTCTGTTGGTCATCATCTTTTTTTGGTATTTTTGGGTGTCGATGGCAGGCCGGATTAGGCAGCTGAAATATCCAACAACAGCCGCTGCTGCATACTGGTGTGCATATTTCTGCACCTGGCATCATATAGGTCCCCGTGAGCCGATCTACTGGTGTGTATCCACTCAAGCTACTTTCGTAAGAATATTTCATGTACAAGGTACCGAGATGATAGTTATATAAAGAGCACATCTGGACCATATAAACATTATACAAAGATATCCAGTCCAAAAAAGCCAATCAAGAAAAAAAAAAAGCGACGTTTTTCCCGTTGAATTGTTGAAAACCCAACTCCACTCCGGTGATGAATCCCTATATAGTATATAAAAAAAACAAATGGTTTCTTCGCCAACAATAAAAAAAAAGAGAGATACCATGCAATCAAAAAGTAAGAAAAAGAAGGAATAAGGACCAGTCAATTAGTAGTGTTACTGGCCCATGAAAAACTACTCCTACGTATTGGTAAAAGGTAAGCCTTGTAATAATATGAGGCTAGGTAAAGTGTAGGGTAGCACTGTAGACACCCTTTACTCCTTCTTGCCCTGCCTGACCAAGTATCCCAAAAGGTCAACTTTAGTAACAACGTGCACGGGCTTCAACCCTCCTTCCTCCCTTGGTTCCGTCACAATAGCCACACTGTTATGTTCGAAAAACCTGGTAAGGGCGCTGAGTGGGGTATCCAAAGTGATCTGATCAAACTCTCTCTTCCTGCCCCCGGCAGCCTTCCCAATACCATCCTTCCTAACCGACCCGATCTCATTTGGATCGGTGATAACTTCCGTAATCTTCCTGAAATCGAACATGGCCTTTTCAACCGACGATGAACCATCGATCTTGCCGCGGGAGATGAAGGAGAGTAAGTTTCCGAGGGTCACAAGACCTACGAGACGGGTACCGGAGAGGACGGGGAGTTGGTCGAAGCTCTTTTCGCGCATGACGTTGATTGCAGAGTTGACGTTTGCGTCGACTTGGATCGTTACGATGTTCTTGAGACGGAGGGAACGGATTGTGGCGTCTTGGTAAGGGGATTTGGAAGTGGTTGGCTTTTCGAGCTCATCGGGGGTCAGGAAGTCGTTGTTGACCATCCAGTCGTCGTCAATGAACTATTTTATTATTGTATCGTTAGTCCCTTTCCACTCTCCATTGTTCGTAATAGTAGATGTGACTCAATGTGATACCGTACCTTAGTGAGATAACTCCTGACGCTATCTGGCAAGACCACAACCACCACATCACCCTCATTCAATTCCTTCGCGGCTTGCATAGCAGCCTGCATTGCACTTCCCGAGCTACCGCCGACCAAGAGTCCCTCCTCCCTGATAAGTCTCCGAGAAAACTTAAAACTCTCTTTATCCTCTGTCTTATACCACTTATCTACGATCTCCCTGCTCAAAACATCGGGCAAGAAATCATATCCAATACCCTCAACCTTATACCCTTCAGTCGAAGTATTCAATTCCTCAGGGAAAGCCAGAATACTACCAACGGGGTCGGCAGCAATAATCTTAACATCCTTATTGTGCTTCTTCAACCCTCTAGCGATACCCGTGATAGTACCACCGGTACCAGCACCAGCAACGAGCATATCAATCTTCCCACCTGTTTGCTCCCAGATCTCCTCCGCGGTGCCATATTCATGCGCAAGCGGGTTATCAACATTTGCGTATTGATCTAGGATATGACTGTTGGGAATTTCTTGCTGCAGACGTTTGGCAACTCCGATGTGGGATTCTGGGGCATCCCACGCAGCCTCGGTTGGTGTGCGAACAATTTCGGCACCGAGAGCTCGGAGGACTGAGACTTTTTCTGCTGACATCTTTTCGGGCAGGGTGATGATTACCCTGTACCCTCGGACAGCGCCGACGAGTGCTAGACCGATACCACTGTATTGTTCATCGAAGAATTCCCCCCACAGAGGGGCAACAAATGGTTAGCACGCCATCATGAGCCAATAGAAATCCCACATACTTAAGTAATATTTATATAAAACCAGTACTTCAACAAAACAGAAAATAAAAATAAAAATAAAAGTAAAAAAATAAAATAAACCTCAAACGTAAAAATAAACCCCAAACCAAGGGATGGAAAAAAAAAAAGCGTGACTTACGTATTACCACTGGTAGGCTCAATCAAAGTATCACCAGGCTTAATCCTCCCGCTCTTCTCAGCCTCCAACACCATTCTCTTCGCAATTCGATCCTTCACACTACCGCCTGCATTGAAGTACTCGCATTTCGCATAGACCGTAGCTTTGATGCCCAGCGACTGTGGGATACGATTGAGCTTCACGAGCGGAGTTTGACCTATATGCGTGAGGATATCTGAGGCGACAGGTGGTGCTGGACGGTTAGCTGGGGCAGACGACGAGTTGTCGGCGGTTACGTAGGATGCGAGAGAGGACGCCATTGTTTGGAATGCTTCCATTGAGCAGCGATATGGACACTATAGGTATTAACGGGGTATGGCTATAGATTAGAGGGGAGAAAGAAGGAAAGAAGAATGTAGATAGGTTTGGAACAGGATCCAAGAGAGGAGGGGTGAAAAAAAGTTGGGGTCGAAAGTCAGAAGCTTAAGAAGCAAAGCTAGCGTCGAGGGAAAAGTACCCGAGACAACGATCAGTCGCAAAAGGCGTGTTGCGACTGTTGCAGGTCCGTATAAACCAGGTCGAAAATTTCAAAGCAGAGATAGCCATCATTATGCATCGGTCATCTGCCGCATCTAAGCGTCACCACCTTCCTTTCTTCTGGTCCAATGCACGTCTGAGCTGAGCTCCGGGGTACCTTACCTTGCTTATAGATATAGTCTAGACCGCGCGCTATTACTAAAGACCGCTCGGGAACTGTATAAAAAAAAACAATCTTCGCGATGGCATCATTGAAAGATAAGGCCAAGAAGGCGAAAACAATATTCTCTCTTGACACCCCCACTCCGACTTTTCTCTCACCGGCATGGCCTGAGATCTCGTCTCAGACGTCATCAGACGCCTTCACTGTATTATCCAAGCTTCTTACCGACCTGCAAGAACTTCAACAATCAACTTCAACAATAGAAGGGGATGGCAAACCGAAGATATTGGCCGGTCCAAACCCGGTAACAGCATACCTAGAGCATCTAGTGCAACTAAATGTTCCAACATCGCTTCTAAAGCCTAGTCCGAAGACCGAGAACCCTCCAAAGGATGTTAGAAAGCCATTGGCAGTGCTGGTTACGAGGTCCGACCAACCATCGGTGCTACACTCACACATACCATTTCTATGTGCTGCAGTATCAGTACCATTGGTAGCTCTCCCGAAGGGCTCGGAACAGAAATTGGTGAAGATCCTAAAACCACAAAATGGCAGCGTATACATGCTGGTGGTTTTCGAAGATACACCTGGCGTTGAGGAGCTAAGAAAGCTTCTTCTCGACGAGGACGGACAGATCATAGTAGGAAAAGTCGGAATGCCGGAAATACTCCAACCGAGTGAAGCAAAATGGATAGAGACTCGAAGCAAAGTCACGCAGACGTTCGTTGGTGAACGGCGGAAGGGTAAAAGAAAAGGCGAGGGAGAAACCAATATAGAGACCAAGAATATCGGAAATGAAAGTAAAGCTCCAGCAAAGAAGGCGAAAAAAGATGGCTGAATTTGGCCCACCCGTGTATCTGCAGGAGCGCTTTGTACTACGTCAGATTCCTACCACGGATGCAATTTCGATGCACGGATAGGCACCATGTCTGTAGTGCAGCAGATCGAGATCTTCTAACAAGGATTATTCTCGTCATCCGGCGTCGGGGCTGGAGACGGCAAGCTAGCCCCCGGCTTGCATCACCTCGCATGCTAGGACGGCTTATCTACTCATCATTTGTGGGGGACACATGGCATTGTTTACATCACGGTATCTTAATTAATATGGGAAAGCGAAGATCTTAATTGTAGAAGGGTTTATATTTAAAACTACACAAGGACACACGCGACAGCGCACATCAACAATCGACTTGAAGAAGCTAGATAAAAACAAGGTTGGGGTCGAATGTATGAGACAGGGGAAGAAAGAGTAGAAAATAAGCATGAAGAAGTGAAGAGATAATTTTGTGAACTAGCTCTCGATTCGAAGGTAGGAGTAGTAGTAGTAGCAGTAGTAGAATATATCTGTTCCAAGAGCAGGTTAAAAAAAAAGAATTATGTACTCATGGTAGAAGTATTTGCCCATGCGGACATAGCGAAAGGTAGAAGTGGGTCTTGGGTCTCTTGAAGGCCAGGAAGAATATAACAAGTGGGATATGGGGTGACCAAAAAAAGAAACGTAGATACCAGAACAGATGGACACAAGGGGTTTCCGTATAACAAAGAGTCACAGACATTTTGTGCAAAACAAAGACGCATTATTACAACAGTGTAGATATATGCGTGGGAAGAAAGCCGAAATAAAAGAAGGCTTGCAAAAAATCAAAGCACAATCCAGGGCCAAATCGCTATGCATCAGAACAAACAAGGAAACCGAAATAGAAAGGTGCCGAAATAAAACAGGAGCCCGACCGAAAAGAAAATAACTTGAGAAAGGAAAAGGGATCGCTTGCATCTATCTTTTTCTCGCTCAATATGCTTCAAGATTGCATCTCATGACGTTCCGAACATAACTCTGAGCTGAGGGTGTACTCCGGGATGGATCATCAGGGTATCGGGTAAGGGGAAAAAAAAGGAGACACTCAGTCGTCGTCATGTAGTCGTAGAAGGGTCATTGTCATTAAAGAACCTCGTTTATCTCGTGCTACCACCATAGTGAGACTGGGGACGGGCCGAGCCGCGGGGCGGAATACCGGTTCTCGGTCTTGCTGGAGTGCTGCTAGTGCTACTAGGCGCGGATCCCGGTGTCATGCCCAATTGTTGGAAGTTAGGAGCGGAGA